AAAAAAAAAAAAAAAAAAAAAAAAGCAGGTGAAGCCGGTGGTGATGTATTTTGAAATGATATGGTGAAAAAGGAAAAAAGATGGGAAAATTCCCATTAGGTCCCATACTCCTTCTCCCCAAAGCCAAACCCATTTTCACAAAAACAAAATCTACTATTCTCTCTCTTCTCTCTCTTCTCTCTCTCTCTCTCTCTCTCTTCCTTCTCCCTGCGACCGCCTCGCCTCGCATCGCAATTCCTGCAATTCCCTCACTCTCAGATTCTTTCTCTCTCTCCGCCGCCGCCGCCGCCGAAACCCCGCGCAAGATCCCCGCGGCGCCACCCGCGGGATTTCTCTAGGGTTTTCTGATCGCTCCCACGCGACAACAACGACGTCGTTTTCGAATTGCGTGTAGCGTCCACGAGCCGCCATGGCTCCCGGGCGTCGCCGCGGAGCGAACAAGGCGAAGGCGAATGGGCACTTGACTCTCGGCGATCTTGTCCTCGCTAAGGTCAAGGGCTTCCCCGCTTGGCCTGCTAAGGTCTCACTCTCTCTCTCTCTCTCTCTCTCTTCCTTCGCGTGTCTCGTCTTTTCTTTCGATTTTCGCTCGCCTCGTTCTTAACTTCATTTTCAATGCTTCAGCATCTTTTCCTTGTTAGCTTGTGAAACTGTTCGGATGAGGGTTTTAACGTTTTTAATGTGGCGTGTTTCTCTTTAAGTGCGTGCGTGCGTGCGTGTAAAGACTGTTATAGTCTAGCGTTATTTGTGTTTTTGGCAAATTTGCTCTGTTGTCCCTTTTTTACGCATTGTTGTGTGGTTTTTAACTTGTGCTGGTTGGTTGAACTTTCAGTTGTTGTTAGTACCTGAGGATGCTGATTTTGGTGCGTCTTTGTTTTCAGATAAGCAGGCCTGAGGATTGGGAGAAAACCCCTGATCCGAAGAAGTATTTTGTTCAATTCTTTGGTACGAAAGAAATGTAAGCCTCTTTCACCTGATTTCTCGTGTAGCTAAAAAGTATGTGAATGGTTAGGTTGTCTTGTAATCCGATGAATGGTGATTAGTTCTATTGGAATGCCTTTAATAACTCGTGCTTTATAAAAGGGAACTATTGCATGCAATAGTAAAGAGGAACACCCTTGAGTTGTCAAAGTTTGTGGTATAGTTTGGATGTGAAAAAAATGATAAAAGTGGCTTGTGCGGAATTTTGGATGAAACAACACCCTGTCAATTGTCTCACTATTTATCACTTGAGCATCTATTTTGAGCTTAAAGGTTATATTGTCCCTGGAGAGTTTTATTTTATACTTCAACTGATTAAAGGTTAAATTGAACTTGAAGAGTACATACTAGACTAGATGTGTGTAGTGCATTGTACTGTGTGAAGAATAGTATCTGTAGTGGTGACACTGAAACAGGCTTGCAATTTATCCATTATTATATAATTATGGATTCCATGTCTACATTTCCTTTTAGGTTCATGTGTTTTATAAGAAAACAGTGGCGGTACAGATTATATCATGAGGATTAATTGTCGTTTCATTTTGAGATTGATGGTGCTAATTGTCTAATTGTTGCATGGTCTTGGAATGGAGGCTATAATATGGTATCAAAGTTAAACTATCCCGAAAGCTTAAGCTTTTTGGTGGAGGCACAGGGGTGGTTTTAATTTTAATATTTTATGTCTGTAACATTTTATAGTTTTTGTTTTTAAGATTGTTGAGCATGGGAGAAAGAAAGCAAATTTTATTGTGGCTGAAGATGATGTTGTGTGTCATAACAGGATTAAACACTTTATTCCTCCAAATATGAGTTTTTGGCTGTGTAAATTATTTAAACCACGACCACCTATGTTATTTATCATTTGGATTTAACCATCTCTTTTCATTGTATTGAGTTTTAAGAGATGGAGAGGTTGGATCCCTTCGAGGCTCTCCTACTACTACCTTCCATGGCCCAAGTGTATTCAAAAAGAAGAGGACAGATAAGCCATATACCTAATGAATTAGATGGTCAGCGTATGAAGTTGAATCTTTTTAACTAATGAGAGAATCAAATTTGGGGATTTAGTTGGATGTTATAGTGGAATATGCTACTTGAAATTTCAATTCTCTTTCTGAAAAAAAGTTGATTCTGTGGTTATTTATAGCTATGTTTTGTACCTCTATGTAATTGTATAGACCTTCCATCATCTATGTCTGTAAATACTAATACTAATTCTTGATCAGCAATAGCCTAATAGAAACCGTTATTGATGGACAATTGACTTGAGAGATGTTTCAGTGTAGATGAATCTTTTGAGGTTCTATCCTTCTTTCAAAGGCCTTGAACAAGTCTTTTAAGCTAATGTATATCATATGTTGGTCCTTTTTCTTGTCTTTGGTTGTTCTTTAAGAATGTTTTGTCCTCTGCTCTAGTACAGCCTTTCCTATTTTTCTTTGAAATAAAACTTAACAAGACATTGTGGTACACATTAAACTACAATTTCAATATTTTCTTCCATTTAGCCCCCCAAATTAAAAAAAATAAACTTGTGTTTCTTGTCCTTCATGTTTATTTTCTTACAACTGTACCTATGCTATGTTCTTTTCCTTTGCAGAGCTTTTGTTGCCCCAGCAGATATTCAGGCATTTACCAATGAGGCTAAAAATAAGTTGTCTGCTCGTCTTCAGGGCAAGACAAAGTACTTTGCCCAAGCTGTGAAGGAAATATGTGCAGCATTTGATGAGATGCAGAAACAGAAAGCTAGTGGTTTGACAGATGACACTGATGATTCTCATATTGGTTCAGAGGCTCCTTCTAATGATGGGGTAGTAGGTAACCTAAAGGATAATACTGATGCAGTGGTGTCAAATGGAGGAAAAGATAATGTTGATATGGATAATGTTGGCTCTAATTTGGAGCACTGTATGCCGAGAGTTGGAGAAAATGACAGTCAAGATGAAAAGCTCTCTGTATCTGACCATCCAAATGAAAGTTCTTCTGTTTCATCTCCTGTGATGAAAAATAAATTATCCTCTGGTTCAGAGGCAAAGAAGAATGTTCACAAATCTAGTCTTAAAGATGCTTGTAATGTTAATGATTTTGGGCAAGATGATAATGGACATAGTGATTTAACAAATGGGACCAAGCCAAGAAAGCTTGTTAATGGCTCAAGGAAGAGAAGTGAAGCTGCAGGTCATAGAGACAGAAATGGTGGATCATCTACTGGAAAATTTTTGGAGGGAAATTATACTGGTCATGGTGATCTTTCTAAGTCTGAGGAGACATTGAAAACTGGGAAGAAAAGGAAAAATGCATTTGCTGTTAAATCAGATTCTCCAGATACTCTTAAATCAGACAATAATGGTAATACTGGGGAAAAAGATAGCAACTTGATAAAAGTCAAAACAAGTCTTGAGGTAAAAAATGAGCTGCAGGAAATCTCGTTTGATTCTGAGGATGGTGATGGTAAAAGTTCTAGTTTGCGTAAGAAGACCCTGTTTCATGCAAAGCATAATGTAGGAGCAAATGAACCTTTACATGCTACCAAGAAGTTGAAGCGTATGGATGCCCAAGATGATTCAACTGTAGGATATTCTTCAAAAGTTCCAAAAAGAGCTTCACCTGGCTCTACAGTTTTTGAAGACAGATCATTTAAAAAATTAGAATTGAAGAAGTCTACACCAAATTTGAAAACAGAAAAAAGCTTGCCATCTAAAGGTCAAATTGGTGGTGCAGGTTCTGATGATTCTGTCAATGAGTTGCTACCCGCAACTAAACATCATAGCCAGGTTCATCAAGTTATGCCTGATTCTGCTGGCATTGCTTCTGATGAAAAGAAAGAAAGGAGTTCTCTTAGACATAAAGTTGATACAAATAATGTTATGATAAAACAAGTTGAGAGGAAACGCAGAGCTGTTTGTCTTTTCGATGACGATGATGAACCTAAAACTCCTGTTCATGGAGGAGCTGCTAAAAATATTAAATCGTCTTCTGTTTCAGAGGTTAAGAAGACCAGCAATGCGCACCCAGAGAAGTCTGAACCTAAAACTCCTGTTCATGGTGGAGCTGCAAAAAATATTAAATCGTCTTCTGTTTCAGAGGTAAAGAAGACCAACAATGCACACCCAGAGAAGTCTGATGTTGTTCAGATGGCTCAAAGGAATTCTAGTGAACTTGAGGATACCCATTCGAAAGAGCCATCTTCTCAATTACATAATGACGGTTTGTCAATTAAGCAGCCTCTAAAAGAGAAAGATGATGAAGTGATTCCTTTGCATGTTCCTAATAGTCCTGAAAAATTAGATTTGAAGCAGTTTCCCTCCAATGCGGCAAAATTAAGCTCTGTCTCTCCAGTAAAATCACCTCAGCCAGTACCGGCAATTAAGTCAAATGCTGAGCGGAATAAAGCTTCCAAACTTTCGATTAAAAATTCCATTAATGCTACTCAAAAGAGGGCTGATCATGGGTCTTCAAAGTCTTCACATAACCTTAGCTCTTCTCAGAATCAAGTTGCAACTCATAGAAAGAAGCTTGCATCTTCTGCAGAAATTTCTAAAACTACTCCAGAGACATTGCCTCAGGCAGTTGAAGCTCCTGCCTCAACTGTTGGTTTTAAGGATCCTGATGATCTACATGTTGATAGGTACACTTGCTTTTTTGTTTTCTTCCTTTTGGATTTATTTACCATTCCTTCTCCCTTTTATTTTCTTTATTTTATTACAGATTGGAGGTGGGCACAGAAGAGAAAAATAGTATATATACCGGTTCTGGGACTCCTGAAACTGCCAAAACTATGAAGCATCTTATTGCAGCTGCCCTGGCAAAAAGGAAACAAGCTCATTCTCAATGTCTTCCTTCTGGCTTTCCCAATGTTCAGGGGGGGACACCTAGCCCCTCCACAGTTCAGCCATTTCTGCCTGTCTTGAGCAATTTTGTGCAGGCAGATATGCAGGGAGTTTATGAGCAGACAACATTGGCTTCTCCACCAACTAAAGAGCATCACTCTGCTTCTCATACTCAACTTGATGCTGATGAAATTGAGGACAGAAGAATTGGTTCAGCGCAAAGGGGAATAGAAGGCTCACTGAGTGGTGGTACTGAGGCTGCTGTTTCTCGTGAAGCTTTTGAAGGAATGATTGAAACCTTGTCAAGGACCAAGGAAAGTATTGGCCGTGCAACTCGTCTTGCTATTGATTGTGCCAAGTATGGCATTGCCAACGAGGTCTGCTCCAGCATATTATTTCTACTTTTAAAATTATGAATTAGACAATGACTTTCCGCCAAATTATTTTTCTAGCTTTAAGAATCATTAGAGAGGATGTAATTGCTATATAAAGGAATTTAAATTCTATTATAGCATACAAAAGTGTGTCCTAAATCCTAATGTTTAGTTTCATGGGAATACTTTTATTCAATTCCTGGGAAGTTCTTTGGGTTGCGGTTGAGGTCTGAAGGTTGGTATCCCTGAAACCAGCATTGTCAGTTTAATCGGAAGGGAAAGCCTGTTGATAAGTGCATGAGGCTAAGCCTTAAGTTCATCAATAATAGAGGTCTTGGATCTTTATCTTGTGTGTTACTAATATGGCGTAAAATTTACTTTTAACTTCTATTAACCTACTTTTCTGTTTTTGTTAATTTCTTGCTTATATGATTGTGATGATTAACTTTTGCCACAGAAAAATCTTGTAGTAGGAACATCAAGGATCCATGGGAGATAAAGCATGCATCTTTTTTGTATTTAGTTGGTGATTGTTGATTGCAATGTGAATATATTTCCTAAATTTTAGACCATTGCTACCATTTCTGGAAGTTTTGTTAATATGATGGTTAATGTACCTATAGTGGACTTACTTCCTACTCCTTTTTGTTCAGGTTGTTGAACTTCTCATCCGAAAGCTGGAAAATGAAACTAGTTTTCATCGTAAAGTGGATTTATTTTTTCTTGTTGATTCTATCACTCAGTGCTCGCATAATCAAAAAGGTGGGTGAAGATTATACTATTAGCATTTATTATTTCTGTTTTTTGTTTCCCCCTCATTCACTTGCCAAAATTATTAGTTTAGGTAGTCTTCTTTTCATGGCAATGATAACTCTAATTGTAGAGGGCATTTTTAGGCATTGCAGGAGCCTCCTACATACCTACTGTTCAGGCAGCATTGCCACGCCTTCTTGGTGCTGCTGCTCCCCCTGGAGCTAGTGCTCGTGAAAATCGCCGTCAGTGTCTTAAGGTCAGTTCTCTCTGATGTAAATACTTAATGAACTACTAAAGGAATTACATGGAGAGGAAAGCAGCAGAGTAGAATTAGGGGGGATAACATAGCATTCAATAGGGTAAAGGACCGATGGAGATAGTGGATCTCCTTTCATTGGTGACTCAACAAGATATTTTGGATGGCAATTCAATTGAAACAATAGAGGCAATCATAATTTAACCTTGCTGCCTTACATCACTATGTCCAGTAACTCAGTTCTATCAAGCAATTTATCTAAGATAGTTGTACTCGATCACAAGATTTCTCAAAATCCATCTTGAAGACTGAACCATCATGGCCCCCTTTCCTCAGATTGTCCACTACCTGAATATATTGTATGAATGTCAATTACTTGCCATTGGCTACAATCTTTGCTTAGTGAAATGGGATTTGTTTTAGTAACTGGTTGAAGATGTTTTACTTTTCACCAGGATGTATATGTTAGCTGGATATCTTATTTGTTTGGTTTTCTTGGGTTGACTGCAGGTTTTGAGGCTGTGGCTTGAGAGGAAAATTTTTCCTGAATCTGTTCTGCGCCGTTACATGGATGATATTGGAGTTTCAAATGATGATATGACAGTTAGCTTTTCTCTTAGACGTCCATCTCGAGCAGAGAGAGCTGTGGATGACCCAATTAGAGAAATGGAAGGCATGCTTGTTGATGAGTATGGAAGGTGTGATATTTGTTTTGTCAGTTTTTAGATTGGTTACTTGTATTAAATTTATGTTAGTCATATTTGTACAATTAGTTTATTTATCTTTACAAAAACCAATGTGAGGGAGTAAAGTCTGATTAATTAAAAGAGGCAGCATATACAACCACAAATTGTATTGGATTACTTTTACTTTATTAAATACTAAATTCTGCATGTTTTTGATGGTAGGGTGCTGTCATAAACAAAATAGTTTGTAATAAAAGTTAGTAAACAGAAAATAAAAAAATGCTAAAAGAAATGCATCAATTGTTTTAAGTTAAAAGTAATGTTAATGTACTTATATTGTTTGGGGAGAGTTTTGTGCATTAAAATCCTGGTTAGAATTTTCCAAGCTAATACTTTAGCTTACATAAAGTTAAATATATTTCAAATCATATTCAGTTTGTTAAAAATGGTTTTATACTTGCTTTTGTGTTATTTAAATAATTTTGTGAATCTTTCTGAATTGATTTAAGAGTGTGTCTAGATCGACGTCACATCTTCCACAATTCATGTCAATGTTGTGAAAGCTACTCTAGATAGCTTCTGTTGGACACCTAAATTGATTTACAAGGTGTTTCCAAACACATCAAGTAAAATTGTAGCCTTGTAAGATACTGTGCTATTTTTTTAGAACTAGTTTGATTTTAAACACTGATCATAAGAACTAATTAGACATGCAAGGTTATAAAACCGTGCCATGAAAAAGTTTTGTATTTTGAAAATTTTAAATCATGTTGTAGTGGCAACATCTTTTTTGAGGATCCTAGTGTTCTCAAGCTTGTTGTAAACACATGACTTATTGGTTTAAGTTGATCTATTATACTTAAACCAATAAGTCATGTAAATTTGTTTTAGTATTTATTTGTTTTCTGTTCTCATACCATTCTATTTGCTTCAAAAAGTAATGTAAATTTCTGATTCATGTTATATTCCTGGATATTGTGTATCAGTAATGCTACATTTCAGCTGCCTGGCTTTTTATCTTCACGTCCATTTGAAGATGATGAAGATGAATATGAAGATGATATACCAATCAATTCATGTAAGGAGACGTGTGATGCATCTCCAGCTGATCCCACACATATCCTTGGAGAATCAGAAACTTCTACTGTTACCCCAAATGACAAGCGCCATTGTATCTTAAAGGATGTGGATGGTGAGCTGGAAATGGAAGATGTTTCAGGTCACCCGAAGGATGAAAGGCCCCTATTTTTTAACAGTTCTGAAGAAATTGATTTGCAACATCAGGGCTCAGATAGGAATATAGATCCAACTGCAAACATTTCAGAAGAGATGTCAGCTACTCCTGACGGTTCTCCTCCTATGCCACTTGATTCACCTCCTCCACCCCCACCTTTGCCTTCATCACCTCCGCCACCACCTCCTCCATTGTCACCATCTCCTCCCCCGCCTCCCCCACCCCCAATGTTGCAACCCCCACCTCCTCCTTTACCACCCTCCGCAGCTCCTCCGGTGTCATTGGTTCCTCAATCGTCTGGACCAGCTCGGCCACTTCTCTCCCAGTCATTAATGCCACCTCAGTCTGCGCATCAGTCGTCCCCACAGTTGGGGTATCAGCAGAGTGTACCTCATGACTTTAGTGGCACTACTAATGTTAGGCTTTTTCTCATGATATCTATTTGTTTGTCATGGATTTTTTTGAATTGCTGATTTTGATAAATGCAGTCATCTGTGCAGGGTAACCAAATAGTTCCAATGGCTGGGAATTCTTTTCCTGGAGGTCACAATAATGCAGTTGTCCAGAATGAAGTATTTCCACAGCCATCTGCTTATGCTCCAGCAGCAGGCTGTAGCTCCCAGGAGCCTTCTGGTTTTAACCATTCCAGGCAATTAGAATACGGACAGAATGATATGTTTTTAAATGCTCCAGTTCCTCAACCTAACCATCAATTTCAGCAGAGCAATCCCCCATTTGTTCAGAGGCATGCTCATCCTGCTCCACCGCAAAATCCACCAAATCCATACTCATATTCAAATCCCACAGTTCAGCAACATCTTCCTCATTCATTCCATCCCCCCTTTCCTTTACCATCCCTTCCAGATGGTCGGAGACAATTTGTTGCTGATGAGCAATGGAGAGTGCCATCGAGTGAATTTAAAACAAATAATCAGCATGGTGTATGGAGAGGGAGAAATCCTTCATGTCCCGGTCCACCCTACGGGCAAGAAGGTATCTATTGGGCACATTCCAAATGCTTATTATATTAAATATTAAATTAAAATGATTTGTTTTAGGATTTTTCTAATGTGTATGTCATTCCTGAGTTTGGTTCACAGCTTATGGAAGTTTTAATCCATCTATTTACCTTTTAATTATAATTTTTGTTGTTGATACAAGTGAAAGCTTTATTGTTTAACTATCATTATTTGTATTTTATGTTCTTTGTACAATCAATCTAATTGTTCTCTGTGAATATTTTTTGATTATCATGATGAAGGTCATTTTCGGCCAACACTTGAAAGACCACCAGTAAGCTCCGTGGGTTTTCAGCGACCAATTTCAAGCAACCTACCTGTTGCTCCAGGACATGGTGTACCTCAGATGATGCCCTGTAGGCCAGACATTCCTGCCGTTAATTGTTGGAGACCCAATTGAAGTTGATTGGAGCCATCTTATTAGTAGTAGGTAAACTTCTTCTGTGTTTGGGGGGATTGTGTTTTGCATTAATGGTTTGACTGTTTGTCTGAACCAAAAGTTGCAATGGGTGATTTTTAATAATTTTGGCTTGTGTGTCTCATTGACAAGATGCAGACACTCCAATACTTAATAAAGGGATTGTTGAATAAAAAATTAATGCTGTCAATTTATGTTGGGAAACAGAAAAAAGCCATAGTTTCTTTATTTGGTACTTAGGAGAATTATAATTATTTATTGTTAAATGAAATCTTGTGTTTCTGAAGCCTTACCTGAAGTTGTGGTTTTGGGAAGTCTTTCATGTTGGGAAAATTGGCTGACTGCTGAATAGATTTTTGGGGTTTACATTGAAAATTCTTCTGAGTGTTTGTGTATACAGCTTTGATATTTATTGATCTATGACTTGGGGAGAATGAGAACTTCTTTAAGCTTATTCTTCTTGTAATGTCATTTATTTCCCTCTTTCTGGTAAACCTTTTTAATAAAAGAGAAAATGATTGCTGGATATAACACATCTTTAATACTTGACAATATGACATGATTGAAATATCAGAGATAAAGCCCTGTGGTCATATTTTTTTTTTTTCTGAAAAGAAAATTATGGATTGCTTCTGCAGTAGGACATGTAACTTTTTTTTGGGCTTAATATTGAAAAACTTCCCCGTCATATTCAAAATTGGTGATCAAGTTCATGATTGGTAGAAATCCTTTCATGGAACTTTCCAAAATTGAAACTTGCAGATGTAATTATTTACATTGCGAGAGTGAATTTTGATTGTTATACCTCCTTGTATATGAAGTGGATTTTGGTTTATACCTTCTTGTATATGAAGTGAATTTCTTTTAGGGAAAGTTTCAGGTGATACTACTCGTGTGTTTATTCAGGGCAGAAATGTGTTTTGTGGTTTCTTTCTCTCTTAATATTGATTTGTTAATTTTTACTGCTTGTTATCTTTCAGTGGTGTTGCTGGTGGATCAACATGCAAGGTTAAATTGTGCCTCAGTTAGATTCGCCTGTGTAGTACATACAACTTACCCGTGGAGAAAATTTTGAAAACTTGTGGAGGCTTTTGACAGGATTGTGTATATTGTAATTTTTCCTGACAATGTATCCCAGAAACATTTGCTTCCAAGTTTAGGCCCATGTTTTTGACTTGGTTAGTTTATCTGTTTCCCATCCCTTGTAATTACATGTTATCTATATAGAAATCTGTTTCAAAGACTGAATTTTAACTACAATAAATGAATGTTAATTTTTTTTTCTTTTTCATTTAGGCCTTTTTTTTTATCAAATTGAATTTTCTCATAGTTTATTTCTTAATAAATGATGGCATGTTATTATCTTTTAAGTTATTAACTTTATATATATATATATATATAAAATGACATATTCAAATTAATTAAAAAATCCCTTATTATATTCCCTGTTAGATCCATTTGTTTATACCCATAATCGGCAATTTAATAAAAATGGATAATTTTCACTTAATAAAAAAGAAAATGGTTGGTTGAGATGTAGGAGGCATGTTGGGGTTG